CAGAGGTGCATTTAGATAAAGCTGTATAAGCAGACAAGCAATATTTAGAGAAGAAGGGCAATTGGGTGCTTAGACAGTAGTTGTTTTTTGACAGGCCATTGTGATGAAGTGGCAAAAAATACCTGCATAATGAGACTTTGGTAGATGTAGTACAACTGCAACCATGACACAGATATTAGCAAGATGATGAAATTATTGCACCTCCTTGGTGTCTTGTTCTTGTAAAACCAGATGTGAGACTTGAAAGTGCCGTGAGAATAGCAAATGGTGCTGTCTGCTCTCTTCATATAATCATTTTTCTGTTTTTTTTTTTTAATATTGTTGAAAATAATTCCAGAGAGGAGAAGAATGAGAAGTGATTTTTTTTCCTACTATTAAGATGCTCCCCCCGTACTATCACCACTTCAGGCTGGTACTGTGAAGATTTCAAAAGATATCCTTATCCCTTCAAACATTCAGAAGAAACCTCACCTGAAAAATCAGCTACATAGACAACATAGCTTAGGCAAAAAAACTCCAACATCCTTTGCCAAAATGTTCTGGGTAAGGTGCATTGCTGGAATGGCTGTGAAAGGTCCGGGTGGCTGCAAAGGGCAGCAGTGCTGGAGCTGGTCCCCTTGCACACCAGTGAGGGCACAGCCTCCCTGGGAATGTGCACTTCCCCCTTCTTCACCTTCAGACCTTGGCAGGGGATCAGCCTCCTCATGGAAATCCAAGGGAACCTCTGTAGGTGTTGGCAAAGTGGCGTGGGTGGTGTGGAGTCCCCACTCCTCCTTCCTAGGCACAGCAGCCTTGGAAAGCCACGCAAGCAGGCTGGCAGTTCCTACGTCAGCTGCTAAATCCTGCACAAGGAAGAGGGCTGCTCTCCATGGAAAAATGTCCCTGCAAACACTGTGGTGAGGCTGAGCAGAAGGAAATCTCCAATACAGCTGTAAGTGTTAGAAATTGTGTATCTGAAATCATGACTGAAGCTGAATGCTATTTTTACTAGAAAATCAAATAGAAGATATAAAATATCAAGGGATAGGAAAAAAAAAGGGGGAAATATTCATACCAAAAGAATGATGGCTGACACTGGTTTGCATCCATAGAGATTACAGCCCTTCTTTTACTAATTGGCTTTCCAGAGGTAAAGAGTTACATCAACTCATCCTGAAATGACACTTGCCAAAAAGCGAAGTGTCCATTATAATCTCATTTAATAAACTGTTAGGTCACCTAAATATGCTTTCTATCTGAATTATCTGCTGGAAATGTGCTTTAGCAATTCATTAACCTTCCTTCTAATAATGTGGGTAAAGGCAGCACTCTGCTATGGCCCTCAGGAATCACAGCACAAGAAATGTTGTTCTTTTGCTCAAAGTACATGCTTGTTACTGAAAAGGGGCACAGAAAGGTCAGAGGGATGTAGCTGTTTGTACCCTTCCTCGGATTTACTGGAATTGCTACTTGTTTAGAATTAGCCATTATTTCAGTACAGATTTTATTACAGGTCAGAGACACACTTGTGGAAGCAAACCCAAATCTCCTACTAAAATAAAAAATAAGAGATAAAATCAGCTACAGTATTTCAACTTCAAGGAAAATATAAATAAGTACTTCATTAAAGATGTTCTTTAAGAACATAAGAAAGGAAATAAACTGGCTTGGAAGAGTTCTGAACTTTGGGGACATTTGCTCAATGTGGAGCCAAGCTCAAACTTTGCAGTTTTTCTGAAGGGAATATGGTGGTCTCAGAGGATGAGAATGCTGATAAGCAACAGAGATCTTCTAGGCTGCAGCATTTCACAGTGCAGTTTAGAGTGGAGTCCAACCCTTGCTGCTTTTAGGGAGGAAACAAACTTCCCAGGAGACTTTGGGGGCTGACTTGTGTTACAGAGGTAGTTTGTTTGAAATGCTCAGTGCCTAGAAGTGAGCTCATGATGTCTGACATGAACATTTTTCAAAGCTTTGGACTGTGCAATTGCCCAGGTTTAGTATTCATTATTTCTGCTGTGTCATGTGACAGTGATGTCCAAAGGCTGCTGATGCACCAGCATGTGAAGAGGATGCCTGCTAATGTGTATGCTTCAGTTGTGGCAAAGTTTAGAGCGTGGACCTTCCTTCTGCTCCCTGGTTGAACAAATGCTACACTGGTCCATTACTGTGGTTTTTATGTATGAAGACTGCCACCAGAGCAGACAGCAAAAGTGAGACTGAGCCTCTCCAACAGAACAGGGGCTATCAGCTGTCTGCTCAAGGACAATGTGCCAGTGTCATCACAGGCATGCTCCTGTTGAGTGCACGTCTAAGCTGTGGAGAGATCCTCATGGTTTGTATTTCATTCACTGGAGGGTAAATTACATCACTGAATTGCCTTTACTACCTGCTCCCTGACCAAAGATTTCAGCTTGAAGATATCCCCTGATGTGCGTCTTTACTGTAGTGAAACTCAATTAGCACTTCTCTGTCTGAATCTGTCCATATTGGACAAGTAACTAGGACTTTCTGAGGAAGAAAGCTGTTATTTTGGGTAGAACAAGATCCCTCTCCATATCCAATAAAATGCATACAAAGTGAGCCCTGGGTGTTGTTTTATTGCTAGTCCCCACCCCCAGATGCTCAGACCCATCCATATGTGAACAACTGGTGTTACTTCATTTACAGCTGTTGCTGCACATCACCTGTGTCTTTTGTGGAAGTGTGGCTGTGAATATCTTTACAGACAATTTTGAGCACCCTGCATGTTCTGCCCAGTGCATAGGGGAAAAGTGAATGCTGCTGGCTATTTTTCACCACAGATGACTAAAGACAGAACAAGTACATAGTGAGGGATGTAAGATTAAACATCTCAACCAGCTCTTGCTGGTGCATCAGGATGAGTAATTGCACAAGAAACAAGATGATTATTGAAGAGACTAAGATTTCCATCTGGTATTCCATTCAGGTTTTCCTGAGAGAAGAAAGTGTGGGTTTCCTGTGCTGTGTAAGTGCACAGGCAGTGAGTGCTTGACATGAGCCTTGCAACTTTGTGGTGGACAGTGACAAGCCCCGATGTCCACTGCTGTAGAATAGTGACATACACAATAGGAAAATCTGATATTAGTCAAAAAATTAATTTGAAGGAGTCATGGACAGGGATATCTCTTCCAGCATTTCACTGTTAGATATCCTCTGCCTGGAAACTGGGATATTTATTATTCAAGAGGATCTGCCATGGCATTTGGATCCTATCCAATCAAATGTTTTCATTATGATGGGGAGGGCTAAGACCTGAGTGGGAAGACCATGAAATGACTTTTAAGACTAGTTTTCTTGCAGGAATCTCTCTGTTGACAGAAACTCTTTCATGTTTAATGCCATGTAAAGTGCTGTGTATAGCAACTTGCTAAAGTGAATTAATAATAAGTAATATGAAAGTGATATAACGCAAAGATAACATAAAAGCCCTTGAGACATTCATGACAAGAATCCCATCTTTTTGTCTCAGTGTATTTCAAAATGCCCTAGGGGAATCTTTTTTCCAGAAGAAAAGCTGAGTTATGCATTTTCTTATTATATCTAATTGTAGAGAGAGATTTCTGTAACAAAAATTGAGCTGCCTCCAGAGTGCCTTTATCTCTTTAAACTGGAAATCATCCATGAGGATGTGTGACCTTATTGCCAGATCATGTGTTTCTCTTTTGATTTTACAGCTGGTACTCTCCTGAAATAATAGGTGGCTCTGTGGGGCTTACTAGTACAGATATGGAATAAGAAAAGCATGTGGGAACCAACTAAACTGGCATTAAAAGTATAACTGCTTGGATTTTCACACCTGTTTTCAAAAACTTGGCAGAAAGGGTTAAATATGCTTGTAAAGATACCTTTTGTAAGGCATGCCAAGTGGCAAGCAGTCTCTTTGGGTGCATAAGGGTACACGATGGTACAGTTAATGCTTCAGAAACTTCTGGAACATCTGGGATCCCAGCATGGATTAGGTAAAGACAACATTGTCTGTGAGCTCAGATGTGCACACAGAAAGACTCGACTCACCTGTGCCACTGAGGACCATTCAGGCTTCCTAAGCAAGACTCACTCAGCAGAGAGAATACTGTGGCAAATGTATTTCAACTACATGATCATGGGAAAAGTCTATGAACTTTACAGAGCTGAGGATATTCTCCTTCCCTCCTATGTCTTTCTCAGATTTCTGCCTCCTCTTTGCACTCCTGGGACTGAGGAAAGTATTTGTTGAAATCTTTGCCATTCTCTCTGGAACTCTACTAATCCTTGCTGTTTGTTCCTTTCCCCCTCGAGTTCTTCTGCACATGTACATCCTAATGCTCTCCAACCAACCTGTTCCTGCATAATGCCCTGTGAGATCTGGGTTTGTGGCTAACCCCTGCCCCATACTTGTTATGGCTGCAGTCCTCACACTCGAGGGATTGCCTACAGCCCCAGGAAGTGGCACAAAATATGAATTCCAGAGAAGAGCTGAGCAGGAGGTTTGGATGCTGAAGGAGATGGTGGGTTCAGGAAAGATACCTATGCAGTGGTACATTTCTGACTGCAATACATGTGAATTACTGCAGTCTTTGAAACAAAAATCCTCAGGGTGCCTCTTTTGCATGGAGCACCTGGAGATGTTGAGATGCTGTGCTGAGAAGGCTGGGAGGAGAGGCATGGAGCTGGGACCACAAACTGCATGGCATATTTGAACTTATTTGTGGATGGATGGATGGATGGATGGATGGATGGATGGATGGATGGATGTAGGATGAAGTCCCTCTCCTCTGAAAGCACGGTTTCTGCCAGGGCAGATGATCCCTCTTCTACTTCACTGTTCAGCCCTTTTAGTCCCACCTCCTGCCTTACCAACAGGTGTGGGAATCCTCTGTGCTCCCTCATGGGAATTTTGTAGGTTATAAATTTATTACAAAGCTTAATCACCATAAATACAAAGACCCCTCTTATTAAGTGCTGTAGCCATGGGATCTGGCTACCCTTGACAAAATAAGACATTAAAAAATGTACTCTTCTCTTTGTGCAAGGACAGATTCAAGGTTTAATGCTGTGCAGCTGTGTAGATGCTGGCATGGGTGGGAAGTCAGGCTTACTCACAGCAGAATATTCTCATGTCACTGAGAGCTGTGTCATCCCACTTTCCCTGTGGTTTCTCCACCTTTGGAGCCCACAGATGGCCCCAGAGGTGCAGTTGCTGCTCCATGGGCCGAAGTGACCCCCTGAAAGTCCCCAGCCCTCCAGCTGTTTCCCATTGGAGCAGGCAAATCTCACACTGCTTACTGCCGTGTTGTCACGCAGGTACTGCCACCTTTCTGCACGCAGCGAGAATGAAACCCGCCTGTTGCTGGAGCAGAGCTGGGCCTTGGTCCAGTTCCCCCACCTGCCAGAGGAAAAAACAACTTACCTAGGCTTGTCCAGCCTCTGCTGTACTGCAATCAAGACCACAACTTGCCCAGGGTCCTGGCAGTCCTGGGGCAAGGAACATACACAGGGATGGCAGGTTTCTTCTGCTTCACTCTCCTTCCCCATCAGCCTCTGGATGCCCAGCCACCACCAGCTCCAGTCTGCCCTGTTCCTGCAGAACCTCATTGGCAATTTCAGCTGCTTGCTATGTCCCTGTTACCTAATGTACTTTCCAAAGTAAGCATTTGAGGAAAAGGAGAAAGTATAGCTTTAAGATCTGTAATTTCTGATCTTTCCTTCATTTACAAAAGCACTTTTCCTTTCCCTGGGACCAGATCTTTACCCTGAAACCTTCGCACCTTGTGGCCAAGAGGAACTTTCTCACCTCCTCAAGTGGGATGTGGAGAAACGATTGCACTGGTTTCCCTTCAGGCTCCCCAGCAGCTGCTGCCCTGAAGAAGGATGAGAAAGTGAAGGCTGCTCACCACCCCACGGAGGACTCAATGACTGTGCTGTCCATGCAGAGCAGGTGTCATCACCAAACAGCCAAAATCCCTGGAAGGGCTGGACCTTAGAAGAGGCAAAGTAAAAGGGAGAGGTCACCCATTTAAAAGATGTGATGAGGCAAGGCGTGGTGATGAGGGATAGCAGGTGGCTTTGGGGACAGTGCAAGGATGTTAGTGTGGCTGAGCAGTGCTGTGAGACAGCTCCATGACATTTCTCCAAGCCTATTTTGCTGTTTCCCACCTCTGTTTTTCTCCAAGCAGTGGAGCAGGCGCTCTGGAAACAGGAATGCTTGGTGGCTGCTGTCCCAGGCCATTCCCACCCTCGCACCATGTGCTGATGCCCAGAGCTGGGGTTAGGGTGGCTGGGACTTGTTCCTGGGAACAGGCTCTGCTCTACCAACCCCAGGAATTTTTCTTACCCCCAAGACCCCTCTGCTAAAAAATGACTTACTGGCAAGGAGCCTGGGAGATTCTCTGTGCTAGAAATTTCTTGCTGAGAAGCCTGCATGATGCAGATACAATACAACCTGCTGTGGTGGGGCAGAGTGCTGCGGCCAGCTCTGCTACAATCAGAACAAAATAACATTGGTTTGTTCCCCACCCTGGAGAAGAAGTCAAAGCTTACCTTGAGTTCAAAGCCCATTGCGTAGCCCCTGGGGCAGAACTGCTCGTGGTCCCAGGAGCCGCAGGGGCCTACAATTGGCACGGTGAGGACGCCAACAAGGCCGCGGCCTGGTGCCCCGGGGGCAGCAGCAGCCCAGCAGGCAGAGCAAGGCCGGGGTGGGCAGCTGCATGTCAGGGAACCCACCCAGTGCCTCGGTGCCTCGCCGCATGCTGGCACTGGGGAATTTATTGGCTGGGAGAGTGCGTGGGAGTCCGGGGAGTGTGGGCAGAGCTCCCGGGGTGCGCTCATTGTTGCTGTGTGCTACTGCTGCTGCTGGCCGGCCTCGCTGCTCCGGTGTGCGCAGGGCTCTGGAAACCTGAGGATGCAGAGCAAGGAAAGGGGGGAAGAGCTGGGGACATTCCTCGAGGAGATGGTTGTTTGGAGGAGGGTCCTGGCAATGCTGCAACGAGGATGTGGAAGAGAGAGAGAGGTGGGAGGAGAAGTGATGGACTGGAAGGGGAAGAAGCCTCTCAGGGGCTGAGGCAAAACTTGAGATGGAGCAGTCTCGGGTTCTTTCACCCTGTGGAAGTTCTCACTTGTTTCTTCCTTGTTTTCCTTTTCTCCTCACCATCTCACTGAGGCTGAGGAAAATGCCTGCACTGGAAGCTGTTGCATTTTGCTCTGGGACATGCATCAAGTGCGGGTGACAAAGCAGAAACTTACAAAATGCTCCAGCTGCCACCCACCTTGTGTGGCCCTTGCTGAACTCACTTCAGTTTACTGGCATCTTGTACCAGGGATGGGGGAGTGGGAGCAAAACTTCACGTGGTTGCATCATCCCATGGAGCTGTGAGGCTCCCAGCTGCCCAGGTGTGTCTTTAGGAGGTGTGAGCATTCAGAGAGGGTGGGAGTGTCCAGCAGCAGCAGACCCTGCTTCTGCTGTGGTGCCTTTCTCAGATGGGACTCTCTGTTTCATTCCTTGTTCCTCCAATGGGTCTAGCCAGAGAAGAAACCTCTGCTGACAGCAATGTTCAAGGGTATCCTGTGAGTAATTTCAGAGTAGGATGAGCTGATTCCTTTCCATTGAAGAGTCAGTGGTGATATCACCAGGGAGAGTTGCCCCATGAGGTCTATACTACCAATATATCAGCATATATTAGCAGTATAATATATATGTGTATGCATCTCTATCTATGTATATATATCAGTACATACCAGCACTATAAGCACAGCCAAAATATGGAGAAAAAATTATTCCAGGCTTCAATTACTGCAGAATGGAATGGTCTGCTTCTGTAAGAGCCACTTAGAGCAGGTAGGGGGAAATGTTGCTTTCAGCTGAAACCCTCTGATGTTCCCCCTTGGGTAGAATTGTAAAGGTCCTCAGGTACTCACAGCACCCAACAGGAGCCAATGAAGACAAAGATGTCTTTCTGTATCTCATAGGCAGCAACAACACATCAGAAAGAAAACAACACAAATGAAGGGCTGTGTGATCAGGGTTCTGCTCAGAGAATGGATAGCTCATAGATATTTTTTCACTCCTGGTGGCATAGAAATTTCAAAGCTTGAGGTATTGACTGGATTTTTTCATAAGAGTGGCTGCAACCACAAGCAAGAACAGTGGACTGTTACCAGGTTCTATGTCCAGTGAAGAGCTGTGAATAAGTGATATTAACCATGGTAGCTGCATGAGAAGGCTTTCTGGATATGTGGAAAGTTAAGGGTGAGCAGTGTCAGAGATACCTACAACTGTACAGGAATCTTAAAGAAAGCAGTGAAGATGAACTAGGTGGAGGAGGAAACCCCAAGATAACTGATGCCAAAAAAATAGAGATGTTTCACAGTTTGTAGTTATATTCACAGAGCTGAATCTTTCGTTGTTTGAGTCCCTCTCACTGATAGGGCCTGTTTCTCTGTCTTCTGTCACACATCTTCTCCACTTTCCTCTCTAACAGTCTGAGCTCCAGTCCCAACAGTCCTGCCACTGCAGGTGGCAGGAGGGATATCCTGGTTGCAAAAACACCCTGCTAAGCTGATTTTTTATTGTTCCTTTTGGCTGTGTGGGGAGGAGGTGGCAGAGACAGTGACACTGGGTCGGTGGTTCTGGGATATTGCAGCAGGAAGCAATGAAAACTATTCCCACAAGTAATTAACTGCCAGTGGGAGAAAGTGAACACTGGGCACACTTCTATAACATCACCGTGGGGAGCAAGAAAACAAACAAGAAACTAATCTCAGCTTTATATTTCCCTCTCCTGTCTCTCATTAATTTTTAACTCTTCCAGAGTGATGAATCTTCATGGGTCAAAGAACTTCCCCTCCCCTTCTCTCTCACCCTTTTCCTTACAGAAAACTTTCCCTGCTCTAGACGTAAGGAATGGACTGAAATGAAAATAATGGGATCAGTATCAGCAGCTGAATTTGTGCTGCTGGAGTGTGGGGCCAATGAGTATTTTTGGGTAGACCTGCTGATGCACTGAACTTCCCTGAGCATCCAGTGATGTCTCTAACATCCCTGCTAATTAATGTTTTATCATCTGGGGAAGCTCTTGCTCTTCTTTTTCAGTTAACCTGCAGGTTTCTGAAAGGCAGGAAAAGTACCAGCTTGCAAGCCTAGGATGGGTGGATTTTTAATTACATAACTTTGGAAAGCTGGAGTTTGAACTCAGTGAGTCTGGCAACTTCTCTGCTGGTAAGCTATGGCAGTTAGTGCTGGGGTCTTATGTGACATGTCCTTTCTTCTTTTAATCAAGGTATTGGAAGGCAGGATAGCATCAGACTCAGCACCTGAAGACATGATGGCCAGTGCAGAGCAAAGATCAATTCTGTAATTTTGCAAACATATAAACCAAAAGGAAATATCTTTTTTTTTTTTTTTTTGGACAACTTAAGTCCTCCACCCTATGACAAAAAAAAAATGAACAGAGTTACAAAAAAGACAAAATATTTGAGCACAGTGCAGGTGCTCAAAATAATCAGAAATCAGCAGAACAGCAAAAAGTAATCACACAGACAAAACATCAAGATTAAAGAATGAAGTGCTCGGTAGCCTTATTGGCAATGCATGTACACATTTATATTGTAGATAAGTGCAGTTAGGTGAATCCCCCTTTCCCCCTTTCCCTAGGGCAGAAGGTATTTTGTCATTTACTGCCCATTTATAAGATGGTAGGGCTTTCCAGGAGCTGTGTTCTCAGCTGACCTTCTCTAGCAACATAAACCTTCTCAGATGGTGGTGAGAAACAGCCACTTGAAATTGTGTGTGGGCTGAAAACATTCTTGGAATGGCCTTTGTAATGTCATTGGAGATAAAACCAGTTAAATTGTTCCCACATCTATAAACTAAAGATAGTTCTTTGATAAAAGACCTAGTATCAAGAATTCTTTGGTGCTACCAAGGGCCTCAGTCAGCCTTTGAAATGTACTCCTGTCTCTGTCATGTCAATTTAAAAACAGATGCAGTGGCTCAAAAGGTCTCTGCTCCCCTGTGGTCCTCCGTGGGCTGCAGGGGCACAGCTGCTTCACCATGGGATGCACCACAGGCTGCAGGGGAATCTCAGCTCCCTCCTCTGCACTAACCTCAGTGTCAGCAGGGCTGTTTCTCTCACATATTCTTACTCTTCTCTCCAGCTGCTGTGCAGGATTTTTACCCTTTCTTACATATGTTTTAGAGAGGTGCCACCAGCATCACTGATGGGCTCACCTTTGGTGAATATGTCCTGGGGCCAGCACTGGCTCTGTATGACATGGGTGCGGCCGCTGGCATCTTCTCACAGAAGCCATGCCTGCAGTTTCCCAGCAAAGACTTTGCCACAGCACATAGATGCAGCACAGATTGGCAGACGCCACTGTAGTATCTAAGCTGGAATAAGAGGCATGTAGTTACTCACATCACCTTTGGAGCAAATTTTTAAAAAAATTTTAAAAAATTTTAAAATTTACCTCACGTTTGCTCCTGTTTAACTTTCCAGTAACTTTAAATGGCACATCCATCACTGCTATGATCTTAGGTCTTCCAGTTTGGAGGCATCAACCACCTGAGTACTTATTATCAATCTTATTCATTGATATTCAGTCTGTGACTTTTTTAATCTCTCTTCTCAAGTACTTTTTATTTCTACCTAATCTTTCTTAAGAACCCTAACCCCCAAGAATGGCTGCAGCCATTTGAATGCAAAGTTTCTTCCACTATGAACACTGAGAAAATAAATAATATAAAAAATGGCCATATCTGCTGTGATCTTTTATAATATCAGCTGGCCCTACAGATTTTCTGACAGGGTCCTGAATCTTTGTGACAAAGCATTAATAGCATTTATACCCTTTGCCATTTGTTCCTCAAAGTGCTTTTTGTCTACCATGTTTCCACATGCAATCTGCCACCAGATATGTTACTTCTATTTTTTTCCATCTGGCCTCAATATTAGTCCTCACTGCCTTCTGCAGCCTCCTTTACCTTATGGTATAACATTGAAACTTTTCTTTCACCCTTTCCCAAGTAAAAGTTAATTACTTTTTCCTGGACCTGTACTTCCAGCACCACAACCTTCAGGCTGCTCCTGCTGCCAGTCAGCCTGCAAGCCCAAGGGTTTCCTTTGAAAACTGCCTTGGGTGGGAGGAATGGAGAAGGACCCTGTGCGGGGTCTGTATGTGTGGTTTTCCAGGGAGCAAGAGGAATAGAGACCCAGGAGCTACCGTGAGCACTCCTGAGGACTGACAAGGGAGACTTAGAGCATTGTCTCAGCCCTGAGGTACAGAGAGACACGGGCATCCTGCAGCTCTGACAGTGCCCCACAGCCAGCCTGGAGAGGTTATCAGGAGAGTTTTTCTGCAGATCTGAGGAGAGGATGGGGGGCGTGTGGGGGGGGTGGTGTGCAAAAGTGAATTAAAATTAACTGCGAATTAATTTAAGAATTTGCATATGAAATCTGCCAAGAAATTCCTTCCTGGTGGTGAGCTCTGGGAACTTTATTACTGGCAAAGTTTTGTTGGTATTTCATTCCAAGTAAAGCCATAGCCATAGCTATCCTGGCATGATGTACTACTCTTGCTCAGTTGCAAGACTGAAAATAAGCCAATTTGACAAAAGAAGTTTTTGTGGGGAAAACAATCTTCAAAACTTCACTGGATATGACCTTCAGAATCTTTGTCTTTCTTTTAAGTTGTCCATCCTTTGAGCAGGGCACTCAGCTTCTGTAGAAAAGCCATGTCTGCTGAGCAGTGTTACTGCCCTAACTGTGACAGTGAATTTCTTCTCTGGACTTGTCCTCTGAGCACATTCTTGCCTGAACACATTTCTTGCCTGATTTATGCTCTTCCTCCCAGTTTACACAGTCACTTCTCTACTTTAATCAATTTCCAGACATTATCTCATCCCTTCTATTTCCTAAACCACACAGATTTATCCTTTTGAGCTCTTCCTTTGCACTTCCTTCTGGTATTTTCTGTGTTGTCTGGGAACTTTGGACATTTGAATAGTTAAATCCCCATTACTCTTCTATTCAAAGTTTCAAAATTCTTCTTTAATAACATCCCTCCAGGCTAAAACCTGAGTTTCAGATATTCTTGTAGCTGTTATACTCCAAAGGCCCATTTGCTGATTACAAACAGAGGGGAAGAAAAAAAACCCAGAACACTTCATAAGAAAAATACCTCAATCACAAAGGAATTCTCCTTGTGAGACAGGTAGTTGAATGTACAAGGGCAGAAGGTAGATCATGGAAAAGGAGAGAGGTTCTTTACTGTCATTGCAAATCCCTTGGTACAGCCAAGGAGAAAAAATCCCTTTGTTAGCCCAGGAGCCTCCATGGGCACAGCAGGGACAGGGCTGTGCTGCTGAGCTCCATTTTCCTGAGCACTCAGGAACAGAGCCAGAAGAAGGCGGCTGCAGAGGGCTTGCATGTCAACAGTTCATCTTGAGCCTACAGAGAGAGCAGTCACTGGGTAACTCCTGGCTTTGGAAATGAGAGAATTTATACTGCAGCAACATAGGGTGATACAGCCTCTGTCATCACGGCTGCCATCTGCTCCTGTGTCATCTGAGAGCAGCTGTCGGGGTGGGGAGAGCCACTGCGCAGTGCAGCAGCGACACAGCAAAACTGGCTGTGATTGCTGAGGACCTGGGAGAGCTGGGCAACTCTTTTGAGTTGGTAGGAGAAGCAGACAGACTGGTTGTAAATTACATCTGTAGCTGGCCAAGCAAAGGTGCAGCCAGAGAGTTTTTCTCTTTTTATGGTCCTGTTTATGGTCCCATGGCGTTTGCCTTTTGACCCTTGCCTTCAGCAGTGTCCTGCTTTGGCGGTTTCCCCCAGGCTCGTTGATAATCTTTGCCCCAGACACTGCATGCACCATCCTCCTCCATCTTTCAGCTCCTCTCTGGGACACGCTGACACACAGGAGGAGGTCTGGAATTGGTGGCTGTGTGACACACCTGCAGCATAGGGACACATGTTGGTGACTTGCTACTGGCTCTGATGGCTAAATGAAGCGGGTGACATGCATTATGTGTTACTTTTTTTTCCCCTCAGATGGGAAAAGAGTAATAATCTGAGTTTAGCTTTGTTTCCACATATCTCTTGCCTGACCAAATCAAATTTCCACAGAAAAGCTTCATGAAAATGAACAGGGTGGCCTCTGGGAAGAAATTCACTAGGAGGGAAATGCCAGACCAGGTCATTATTAATGGTGGTCTCTGGAATAAATAACAAGCTTATTAACTTTGCAGGCCACAGCAAGCTGGAATAGGCTGCAAGTACTTTGGAAGACACATCTCGAGCTTGACAAATGATCTTGTCAAACTGGGGAAATAGTTTGAGAAAAATAGGATGTGATTCCATTCCAGGGACAAGGGGAAGCTCCCAGCTTCTGCAGAAATAAGCAGCTGCTTGAAGAAAAATACCTGCATTGACATCACTCTGCAGAGAAGGGTCTGGGAGTCATAAAGGATCAAAGGCAATGCGTGAGTCAGCGGTGTCAGGTCATCTCCATGCTGAGAAATATGAACCAAATTACAGCCCATGAGACAAATGGAGTGAGTTTTCTTCTCAGCAAGTGTGAGCCCCCAGCAGGGCTGCTCTGCCTAACTGAGGGCACTGAACTTCCAGCAGGATATGGCCTGGCTGGATAGAGTCTAACAGAAAGCAACAGAAATGGTCAGCAGTCTGAAAAACCTGATCTGTGCATAACAAGCATGAGAGCTGGGACCGTGTAACTGAGCTGTGGGAGGACAGGAGAGAAGGATTCTTGGGAATAGCAGTTTAGTCAGGGGGTCTGCAGCCTGTGCTGCCGTGGGAGGATGTGGAAAGGACAACACAGGGAGCTCAGGGGAGAAAGTCTACCTCAGGTTTTTCTGTCTTCTTCCTCCCTGGGCTCCCTCCATGCCATGTAGAGCCAGGCTGGGTGGCAACTGTAAGGGGCCAAGGGGGAAGGCTGGTGGCTGTGCAGGAACTTCTGCTCAAGGGGGAGATGTAAGAAGTAGGCTGGGTAGGTAGACATTGCCCCAAGGACCCAGGAACCATGTCACAGTAGCAGTGAAGTCACCTGGGGTCTGCAGGGAGAGTAACAAGTCCCCATTGCAGACAGCTCACAGTTGCCACGGGAGAGGCACAGGGTAAGAGTCCAGAATACCCCTGTAAAGTGGAAGGGAATGGATTCTGTCTGTCTGAGACAAAGAATAAAGGATGAGTACTGAAACAGGCTCAGATTGGCCAAGGAGTATCCTTAATAACAATAATTAAGCCTAGGGAGGTTGCAACATTATCACTGGAGGATTTTTGGGAAAGTTTGAGCAGAAATGTATCAATGGTGCCTAGTGTGCAGTGATTGCTTTGGAGTAGGGATGCACCAGAAAACCTCCTGAACATCTTTCTAGACCTGTTTGCTCTAACCAAATGACTAATTCTGGGCCAAGAGCCCATCCTGACCTTCAGCTGCTGAGCTGTGGCAGGGTCCCCAGGAGCTGCTCTTCTCTGGAGACTCTCTGGGCACGTAGCTTCTGCTGGGGCTGATGGGCACCCAAGTGGGGGCAGCCTGTGGGGAGCAGTGCAGCTCTCATGGCCCAGTGTGCACCATGGGGACTCAGCAGCCGCAGCTCTCAGCTGAGCTATTGGCTGATGGAGGGGAGAGTCAATGGACAGGGTTGGGAGGGGGATACCAGTTCTCCCTCTCAGCCTTGCAGGATCATGTCATATTTGCCTGTAGGCTTGCTGGGAACAGATTTCCCTGGGGCCTTGCTCAGCTGCTTGCCTCGGCCCCTGCACCACTGTGCTCCCAGGCACCCAAGCCTCGGTCGGTGCCTCAGAGAGGGAAGTGTGAAATGTCAAGTGACAGGACTCTATGGGGGCTTCACACCAGTAGGTGGGTGAAGGCTGCTGCCAAAATCATCATTAGAGAATGTTCATTTTCTCTGTATTTTCAGGATAAAATTGGGAAAACATCAAGAATACGAGGAAAAGCAGTTGAGCAGCTGGGATCTGTTACACAAACTGTTAAAGGAGAATGTAAGTAACCAGGGCCACATATACATTGCAGAATATGCTGTGTTTATTAGATTAACTGTATGAAAATATTTATTAAATCACATATTATTGCATGTGTTATGTTCTACTGTGAATGTAGGTCCATCCCAAATTTCCCATCCCCTCTGCAACTGGCCAGCAGACTGGAAGTCCTAAATAATCTTCAGCCTTTATTAATACAAGCTGGACTAGAATTGCAGATAAGAAACTGTGGGACATCAAATTCCTGCTGCCTGGGGAGTCCTTTTCCTGACCAGCAATGTGAGCCTAGCAAAGGGTAAATATCCCTCAAGCAACACTGCAAAAAACAAAGAAAGAAATAAATTCTGCCTAGAACTGTCATGAAAGGAATATTATGGAGATACCTGGCACTTTCCTCCAGCTACAGCATTGTTCATGGAGCTGAGTGAGCCTAAGTGAGCCTGCCTGAGCACTGGCACAGATCTGGCTTGGGTTGTAGTTAGGAAACACCCTCTCATACTGGCACCAGCTCTTTTTTAATGAAGGGGTGGGGAGGTGAAAGGACACTTGTGGGTCAAGCTGGGAAAAGGAGAGTAGAAACAGTGGTTTACTTGAATAACTCTCTCTCTTGAAAAATACCAAACCTAAAGACCCAATCCCATTTGAGCTCCTCTGCTATTGCCAGGCATGGACTACATATTTAAATGAATGATTTAGGCAGCAGGACTTCCACTGTGGACTTTGGAATACGTTCAGTTTTGCAACAGTTTTGTGGGACCAGAGAACTTCTCCAGTCCGAGTCCACCCGATGCAGCAGCAGTGAAAATCTGATGTGGTGGAGAAGGAACAGCAGATCTCAAGTGCACCAGTAGCAGCCAGCAATGGCAGCAGCTGAGACTCATCAACACTGCTCTCCTCTGCAGAGGTGGGGTGCATTCCACTCTGGACTTGTTGGGGTCTTGGAGCTGAACTTTGCTAGGTTGTTAAGGAGATTTGAGCCATCCCTGAATTGTTTTGTCAAGGCATGTTCATTTGCTGACATATCTAAGAAGGTATTTTCACTGGCTAGCATTTGGGTTCTGTGTTACCTCCAGGCAGCACTCAAGTGGACATGCCATGGTTGCTGTGGGTTCAACACCAATCCACAAAGTTGACTGTTTTCTGAGTATGTTTTCCTCACCAAGGCGTTAAAGCTGAAGTCCTGGATCTTGTCTTCTGCCTTGCCCTTGTCTCCCCTCTCATCGGCTAGTTGTGCCCAGGCTACAGCAGAGTGCTCATTTCTTGGAGCAGCACAGAGAACATAACAGCTCCCAGCATCACGGGAGGGAGGAGCCCAGGCTTGATTTGCATTAATTTATGCACTAAAGCTTCCCTTTGTCTGAGGTACTTTTAGCTAATAGATCCCTCACTGGCCTGAGTCAAGGTCTAATTACATGATAAAATTGTGCAGATGTGGCCACAGAAGAGACTCATGCTGTTAGCAGAGTCTTTTTCAACAGTGACTTGCCTCACTTTGGAGAGAAAGTCGTGGTGGTGTTTCTTAATTTTTTTTTTTTTTTTTTTTTTTTTTTTTTTTTTTGGTGTGTACTTCAATTTTTGTAACTGCATTTCACGTAGGGACACAGTTAAAATAAAAAAGACATCAGCCTCACCGGAGAAGCTACTGTGGCCAAGCTGGTTGGACCTGAATTTTAAGAAACTCATGGGCTTTGCCCTTCTTTACCTGACTGTGAGTGAAGAAGGGACAAAATGACCAAAGCTTTGGGGAAATTCCCCAGAGCAAGTATTACTCAGGTGAAGTGTTCAGACACCATTTGTTGTGTTCAAAGCCTTTCAAAGACCAAGTGCCATCTTAATTGGAGGAATAGGTGAAGATGAGGAAAGCAGAGGCTGATCTCTAGGGCATTTGTGTGGGAGGTTAACAGGGATGGATTCATGGATTGCCCTATTTTTGTGAAAGGTTTTCTTGAGAAATGTCCACAAATTTTCAAGAAAGGGAAGAAATCCATGTTCCAGCTGCATAAAATTACTGAAAAACTGGGCATTCTGAGGGAAATCTAGATATGAGATATTTTTGGCATGTAGCCTAGGAACTGTGAACTGCTAAAGTCACTGCAGGTGGTGGTACAGTAGAAAATCATGTTCTGGGATCAAGGAGGGTGTTCAGAGGGAGTTAATGACATGTGGGTACCTGGCATAAAACACTACTGGCAGCGAAGAAGGCTTTTTACCTGTAGTACAAATCCAATGCCTCCACTAAAGTGATAGTGGAGATTTCCCCAGCTTCTCTCTGCTCACTCCACTGCCTGGCAGCCCTAACAGGGAGCCCTGCAGGGCTTCAGGCAGTTCTGAAGAGAGGGGTGGAACCTGGGGTAGCCCCAAGTGAACGGAGGGTAAGTACTTGGTGAACAAAACCTTCTGCCAAGGAATGCTTCTGTTGTTGTGAAACCTGGAGTGTTGAACACAGGCAGCTCTTAGAGGCAAGGCAAGCACAGTTCCCCTGCAAGCAGTGTATAGCTGCATTTTCCTTCCCTGGATGAAATGAGAAGTCACAGAGTTTTATCTGAGTGCAAAAGAAAAGGGACCATAGCATAGAAAATAGCTGAGAGAGGGAGATTTTTCATCAAGGCACTCACTTTTTTTCCCCTGAAATAAGAAACCAATCAAGAACCCCAGAGAGAAGCTGAAGGACCAGGTGTGTTTGCTCAGGCAGGGTGACACAGTAGCAGCTGGGGACACCCAGACCTGCTTGGACACCTGCTTGTTTGGGTGCAGCCCACACAGACCTGAAGTAGTGAAGAGAACCACTGAGAAAGGGCTTTGACATCCAGGCAATGCCATAAAAAGAATAAAAGGAAGCTGTTTGCTTTCTTGTCTCCCTCTGCTGTTCCTGAGGTCCTTTCTCAAGGTGGCAGAGACCACCCTGCAAGAAGTCTGGAATTCCCTCAGCCCTTGTGCTCAACATGAGGGTCTCTCTCCCCTGTTGAGTGTGTTATGAGGGGTGAACACTGGGGGAAAAGATGGACACAGCAGGGCCAGGGTTCCAAGGACATGCCAAAACCAGCATGACTGGCAAGTGTATAGGGGCAGACTCTTTAGAGCAGTGAGATAAGGAAGCAGAGCCCAGCACGGTCATGATGAGTCTTCCAAAAGAAGTTCTCGTGGCTGTCTGAAAACCTGCCTGTGGCAGCAAAGAGAAAGAGTTAGGCGGGCTTTCTGTAGGAAAGAGACCTGCTTGTGGGCAAGGCCCTGTACAGATCAGCTGCAGTGGCAGGCCTTGGTGGGGACCAAACAATATCAAACTTGCTAAAGAATTTAAGCTTCCCTTAAAAATTCCCTTAACATGTATAAAGATGATCTGCCATTGCATGCGCCTATCCTCTCTGTGAGAATTCTCAGGACAGGTGATTCTCATGGATACCACCACAGAAATTTCAAGTCTCTTCAGAGACTGTCAGCTCCCATGAGTGTGGGGCTTACCTCTGCTCTGAAGTGACTCTGGAGAGGAAGGGATCAGGAAGCCTGTGCTCGTGGGCTCAGCTAGGAGGAGAGTGATACAAACCAGCACGGGTTCAGTGCACGTTATAGTAGGTAGGGATGAGGGTAAGTGGCTTCTGGAAAAAAAAAAATCAATTATATCTATATAAACCATATGAGTCCTTCAGAAGCAGTATAGGATTCGGAGGAAACTGTGGAGGGGAGGAATAACAGCAGCCCTGACCATTGGTTCCTTTCCAATGATTTCCAGTGGGTTGTAGCTTTGCCACATTGGAAAGGCTTGTGGTGAAACTTCTTGTGCTGTTTACACGTCTGTTCAATTTGGGTTCAGGCCTTTCTTAGAAGGAGACTTTTGCAGTGTTGTAAAACACCAAAATTTCAGCAAGAGGTGTTTTTTTGAACAATGTGAAGTCTGACAATGTATCCATCATATGAATTCCCTCTCCACATTACTTTGTCATCAATAATTGGCATGAACATTAAATGAAACAAAAATAATTTTCACCTATGCAGATTGCCTCAGAAGCAATTGCATTAACTGGATAGTTATTCCATCCCTGCTAGGTAAACTTCAGCCCTGAGCAGAGGAGCAGCATTGTTTCAACAGTAGTTGCACACCTTCATGAGTCTTTGTACTGGACAGAAAGGAGTCACACGGGATCCCCTGTTCCTGGAATCTACCTGTGCTGTACACAGACAGTATAGTTTCAGAACTTCCCAAATAAAATACAGAGGGGCCAGAAATTAGACATGGGGAGTGTGGAAAAAAAAGCAGGCATACATGGTCTGAAACAGGAGGTAGGGGTCAGGGGGAGGGAAAAACATTGCCTTTTCTGGGATGCAGGATTCCTTCTTGTTCAACATCTTTTCCACAGCAGTTTTTCTCTTTCCAACAGTTGCCTGCAAGCAAGCAGGTAAGGAGATGGGGGAGCTACAGAAAGCCATGGGAAGAGATGCTGCCTCTTACCAAAAAAAAAAAAGCAAAGCTCTTTGGTCCCACTGTCCCAGCCAATCTTGCCTTCTCCAAGTGAGCTTCCATGAATTCACAAGGCTGGGGGAAGAGGTGGGAGAGTGTTCTGTGTTCCACAGGGCACTGCAAGCATGTGAATGATACCGTCCCCTGGACTGACAGCATTTCCCTTGCCTTCTGCTCATGGCTTTTCTGGCCTGTCCTTGCTTTGTCAGTGTTCAGTACCTTGATGCCAGGATAGAAACCTCTGACTCCTCTGTCTGTCTCTCCAACACTCTTTCTACTGCCTAAGGATGCTCCTGCTCCCTTCAACTTTCACTATCACCCATGAGAGCATGAGCTAGTGGGATGCCCCGTTTAGTGCTGCAGTTTTAATGATGCTGGGATAATTGTTTCTCTTTTGCTTTCCAAGGCTTTTGGGCAAGGGACAAAGCAGAAAATGTTGCAGAGGGGTCTGGATCTTGGCACCAGGATTGGGTGCAGGGATTCAGAGTCCAGGTATGGTCAGTCTGGGATGACAGGTCACCAGAACAGGGCCTGCAGACCTAAACCTGTGTCGGGATGATGAATGCTGCCTTGGGAGTCTGTCATGACTCCCTTGGTAGTTCAAGGCCAATTATTTCACTTATTCATAAATTAATTCTTATCATTGATTGTCGTCTGAGTTGTTTGCAATGAGGCACTATAGTCTCAATTTCAGAATGGCATTTTCTACAAGCAGTTATAACTTTCCCTTGGATTGTTATATCCTATATAATACTCAAAACTTTGAAATATGGTCAAGGAAATCTGTCACTCAGAGTGAACAGGTGCTTCTGTCTTTAGTCTGTGCACCTTAGTGCCTGGACTGTTGCACAGAGAAATGCCATTCCCTTGTTTCACAAGGGAAACTAGTGCTTGTGGAGTCCTTGGATACCTCAGTGAAGAACATTATGGAAACTCACCAAGTAAAATGGACCTTTCTAATGAGGGTTTTAACAGAGTGTAAATAATAAATGGATCATGTCCCAAATAGCTACCATTGTTTGTAGGTGGTGATCAGTTCTTGCACTTAACAGCTATGATGGAGGTGATGTGAGGGATGTAGGTCTGGATCAGTGTTTGTAGTAGTTGAAGTCAAGCATACATACAGTTCAAAACCTCAGCAGAAGCACCTATTCATAACTCAGCAGGACAAGCCTCCAAGTTTCCACTCCAAAGTACTCCCAGGTACAGGATATCTTGGGTTAACCCATGCCTACCCAGTGTTTCCCCCATACTCATCTGTTCCTGACAGACACCCCAGAGCGAACCATCAGCAAAGCTGCTGAAGCTGTGGCAGGACCAGGGCTGCCTCCCAAGTCATCACTTCACTGGTTAGTGGTTTGGGCTTTGGGACCTTGATTTGAAGGCTGATAATTGAAGATCTGAGCTTTTAAGGTGCTTCAAGATCAAGTGCAGCAAAGGTCACGAACACTTGGTGAACTTTGGAATATAAATGCAATCCAGAGCATTAATGATGTGCTTAAAAGCTTTGCAGCATGAATTCCAGAGGTGGGTATGTAACTATAGACAACAGGATCTGTTTCACAGTAAATTCCCTGGATCAGCACAACTGCCTGTGAAGAGTTCTTGGAGAGAAAAGACTCTTGCTTGATTCTCTTTTCGAAGTGCAAACGTTCAGACTGCAGTGGCCAACAGTAATTGCACATGGTAGCTCCAAGTAACCATCATTTATTTCTACCTTGCTCTGAACTGGAAGCAGATTGTAATTCCATGTATGGATTTTCTGGGAGAATACAGACTCTCTTCCATGGGTAATGGCCCCAAGATTTTTGTCAAAACAGGAGGCAAAGTCTACATCATCACATTGCCTGGCTCTGGGTGTACATCAGGGTGTGATCTGCTGTTTATGAGCATGCACCTCAGAGTGATGGCTGAAGTATTTTCAACCAACATTCAAATTGCCTTAGGAGATTGGTTTGATATTGGAAAAAGGTGTTTACATAAATCCAGCATTTTCAGATATTTTGACATCAAAGAAGGACATGGCCTCTCCTTTCTTTTCATCTTCCCCTTCACCTGTGTTCAGGATCTGTTATTAAAGTCCTTTATTTAAAAAATAAAGGCAACTTTGAATGATCTGGTACTTATCAGAATAATCTACAAATATTCAACCATCCCTCCCTCCCTCCCTCCCTTCTTTCCCTTCTTTCCCTTCTTTCCCTTCTTTCCCTCCCTTCTTCCCTTCTTTCCTTCCCTTCTTTCTCCTTCCATCACCCAACCATCAGTAGAGCTTAATCTGGCTTTTTGTCTTGATATTCTTGAGCCTTAGTTTTAAAGGGGTGGAACAGCCCTGTGGCTGTGGTTAAGGATAGATTTCCTCAGAACTTTTCCCAGTGAATTTTCACAATAAGTTGCTAAAGTTTTCATATATGAGGTGATCTTTAGTTGAAGATTTGCAGTGGGTGTAAATTGGCATTTGGTCTCTGGCTGTCAGTAAATTTGCACTGCAGGAGGGTCTGCCTCTCCATTTCTTTGCAGGGTTTTTTTGTTAATTAGAGATTTGAATCAATAGTAAAAAATATTGAAAGTCTGATACAACTGTAAAAAACACGTATCAAGCCATGTGCCACGGGAGACAATTCTAGGTCTAAAATTACTCTATATTTGTATTTATTTTATTGCACAGTAGAATAGAGAGTTTGTTTATTAAATTTATAGATGTCATCAGCCTGGGAGATAAAGACACTAGAGGATTTGGGATAGAATTCAGAACAAGCACAGGTGCAAAGTATTGCACAAAATAAGCACAGGTGCAAAGTGTTGCAATAACATGAGAATAGCCCCTTTCAGAGACTTGAGGGAGAGTGACTGGTGAGGCAGCAATTCTGCAGGAAGAGAGGTGCAAGTACCACCCTTACTAAAATGCTGGGTATTTTAACTAAAGTAACAGTTAGGAAACATCCACCATTAAACTATCATGCTGCAGTGACAAGATCTTTGTTCAAATGCTGTTCAAAACATATTTGATCAACAGAGCACAATGCAGAAGAGATCAGCAAAAATGATGAGAGCTTTATAAAACAGTGTGTGCAGGATTAGACCTTCAGAAAGAGTCAGCTATCAGTACCAAATGAGACAATGCCTCTGTTTCTGTTCGTGCCCAGTGCTGTCCTGTATTTAGGGCAGAAATGGACTGAGTTTTCTGCGCTGGCTTTATCTGCAGGTTCCAGGTGTTCTCTTCACAGCTTCCCTCCACCTCTTTCCAGCACACCTGGACTGCAGCCAGACTTTCTCTGTTCCTGGCTGCCATTGTACAATCCTGCCTGAGCAGATATTCCTAATTTTTTTAGCTACTATTTTCTGGTCCTTATTTGTGAATCTCCTTTCCTGATAATTCTGGACCCTAACACAGCTATGAGAAAAAATGAGTGACCGTCTCAGTGCAAAAGATGTAAAAAACCATGAGACATAAGAAAAGCAATTTCTTTGATATTAGCCATGGTCTCTGCTTTCTTTCTGCTCAGCAGGTTTCTTAAGGATATTTGATTTGCTTGCTGGCCCTTGTATGCAAGTGGAAATCACAATGAGATTTCTATGACAAGTGGACCTTTTATGTGTTTTCTGTTCTTGTGTGGGCAGGTAGTTCTGAAATTAATTTAATAAAAAGAAAAATAAAATAATAATTTAAAAAAAAAGTAGTTTTGGCATGCTGGGTCCCAGACAGGAATTGGAAAATGAAAGAAATTAAGAGATTCCACATCAGGGCAATTAGGCTTCACAAGAATGTGTTGAAATGTTATTAATAATTCTAAACAAAAATTGAAATGAGCAAATAAAGAATAAGGCAATAGAAAGAAGACATACAGATTCATAGATGAAGGAAATTAGTTCTATCAATTACACAGAAATAAAAAATGTGTGAAACTATAAAGATTGTAATTTCTGTGTTAAAAACAATAACGTATGCTCAGCCTAGTAGGTAAGATAACTGTCTAAATTTTCAATTTCAATTTTATATGAAAGCTGTGTGTTGTGGACAAGTGGAAAATCACCTGAAAATAACTTTACAACAAGGGGAGCACCACCTCTACATTTTATATCCCATCTCTAATGCAAAATTATCTCCTCTTACATCTGAGAAATGGCTATACTTATGATATTTGCTTTAAAGCTTCTCTCTCTGCTCATGCATCTAGAAAATCCCAGCTCTTGTCTCATTTCTGAGGTCTCTCACTTATATTTTTTCCTGCCATTCAATTTTCTATTAATCCGAGTCAATTTAGCAAATGAGAAAATGAGGATCAGATAGCACATAATTTGATTACTCATTTTCTCTTAAACATGTGCCCATATTACTGAAAACTAATTCTCATTCAGCACTACTGTTTTTAGCCTGAAAAAGCCTGAACAGAGTCTGAGGTTATAAGACTAGTTCAGATGGGATCATGCCTCCCTGTAGTCAGCAGTGATGAACAGATGGTTTTAGGGAGAGGTTCATGTGAAGGTACCTGCTCCTCTCTATTGTCGTCACGTTGTCTCTCTCAGCAGCTATGAAGGGAGCCCACTCCAATTATTTCAGATGGGGACATCTGCACTGTAGGTGTCTGTGTTCATTCAGAACCTCTCTCTTCTTCCTAAATAATGCAACCCTTTGCTTATTCATATTTTCATAGAATAGAATAGATTCTTTATTGCCTTTCCATGTTTATTTTGGCACTAGGTGTGATTTCTGGGCTTGCTAATGCACCATTTCCATGAGACAGTGTGTCTTCTGCAGGGTGCAGTGAGCTGAGGAGTGCCTTATCTACATCCCAAGCTGCAGCTGAGGAAGGTTTGGCAGTCAGGCTCTGTGATTTACAGTGGATTTGTACCCAGTTGTAATGGTCAGGTTTGGCATTTGAGCTGTTAAGGAACTTGGCTACTGAGAGCTGATGGGTGGCAACCAGTGCCTTGGTAACAGTGTAGGAGGAGTGTAAAGTGGCCTAGAGCACGCAGAAGCACGCAGTCATTCAGTCATAACCATCACCCTATATTTATTGACTTCTCTTTTAGGGAATGCTGTTTACTTCCCCTCCAATTTGCAATTCCTGGGCTCTTGCTGCCTTCAGCCCTTCCTACAGCTCACTCAGAAGAGTCCAACATCTCAAATGATCTCCATTCTTTGGGCAGCAGAAGGTTTACATGAATATGAGAAACCGAGAATATGAGAAAGACAACACAATGGTGCCAAACAGTGTTTGTTTTGCTAAGTGTGCAGTATTTTCAGCTGTAAAAATCAGAAATGAATGAATTTTCAAGAACACCTAATACATATTTTTTACAATAACATCATAAAATAAGCACATTTTGTATGGTGTATGTTTTTGTATGTTATAGATATTTTTTTCCATGTTCCCTATAGATTTTAAATATATCACAACATTACAATAATAATTTTATAAATATACTGATTAATATAATATTAATCTGTTTATGAAAAAATAGAAGTTTTTATAGAAAGCTGAAAACTAGTGGCAAAAATTTTATGCTCCTCTGCCTGCAAAAATAATTGTATTAAACTGAATGAATAATGAAAGGATGAAATACACTGTATCATCATCATTTTACTTTAGTCATGTTTCATTAATCAAATTCATCATTTTCCCAATTTTCTTTAAAACTGTTCTGACATTTTCAAGGATATTAAAATACAGGACAGGGAGCAAGAAAGCAGGGTGGGTGTGTCAGTAAGAGGTCTGGATCTCACCATTGTAGATTTTTTTGATTTTGGTAGTCTGTATAAGCTGATCTTTGGAAACTTGTTGAGGCATCCAAGCAAAACTGGCACTGTTACGTGGTAGCAAAATCAGTGTCCACTCTGCAAGTGTTAAGTGCTACCTAAGAAATGTACTTTGAAATCAAGTCCAAGGCATCTCCCATTTGGCAGCCCAGGTTACCAGCTGCTTGGTTATAAATGGGAAAATGACACTTCCCAGGCCCTGGACTAACAGTTCTCTAATAGTTTGCCTCTTGAATTTTCTTAATTCCTTGAATTTTCTCCTGGACCTGTGAAGCATGCACGGGAGTAATTTCTCATGGCCAAATCCCTGAAGGTGGCCTCACGTCCTGCCTCATCCCACCCCCTGCACACTGTGGGCTCACTGTGCCCTAGGATCCTCCTCTGGGGATGGGAAAAGGCAGGAATCTTATGATTTGAGCAGAGTCTGAGGGGGAAGAAGGGGTCCTGCCAGGCTGTGGACCTGCATCACTGCTGCTAGAGGTGATCAAGGGTGATGGTTTTGGGCCAGCAAAGTAGAAATGAATGGGGGAATCCTGCCCCTTTTGTAGCCTGAATGAGGTTCCAGCCATTTCTTTCTGACTCCTGCTACTTTCCATCCACTTGCTGCCAAGGGCAGGTCTGAGTGTCCTTGGCTATCACTCTGTGACCCTCCCTGAACAAACACACCTGCTTTGCCAGATGTGATTGTACAGTCTTTGTGAAAGAAAACACATCTCTGGATTTTGACATCCCTTTGGAGAAGTAAAACAAAAGGTCTGGTTTAAAAAGGAAAACAGGTTGTGCTTTCATCATGTGCTGTGCTCTTTTAGCATCTTTTCACTAAAAGGATCATCCAACTTCCCATCATCTTAATTTGCATATATTGCCACCTGTACAGACCACTGACAAGCATAAAGGGAATGCAGAGACAAGAGTGGGAAAAACAACATCACCTTTTAGTGGGACAGGGACAGATGGATCAGAACAGGAATTGGAAGAGAAACCTAGAAGAGGTAAATTCTGTCTTCCGTTCGTCCGTTCGAGAGTTGGCACCTTATCCCGCTTTAAGATCCTGAGGATCAAGATACTTCTCTAAATTGTATTCTCTCTTCTTTGCCTATTGAAATGAGAGAAAGCTTCTGCCAGATGCTGCAAGACCAACCAAGGGCCCCCTGAAGCATTGGTTAACTGTATGTTAAGAGAATCTCAGCTCCAGTGTTTCAAATTCACTTCTCTCTCATGACATCCCCAAAGACTGTGCCCTCAGGCTCAGTATCACCTTTCTAGAAACCCTGCCTTTCAACTTATTCCCAGTGGTACTTAACCCTCATAATCACTGTGGGCATCCCAGCATATCTGGGATGATGATGATGATGATGATTGAGATTCCCAGGAATCTTATTCAACAGAAGGTATTGGGAAACACAGGTCTTGAGTTTACTTATCCTTTGTTCCAGACCAGGTCCCTTATGTTTCTTCATCTAGTTTGACCTTTCTTGCCAAATAGCAATAGGTAAAATGGTTATGGCAGCTACTCTCAAAAGGCAAACTTTCCCATGGCCAAATATCTGTGTGGCCAGAAGCAGAAATGGATATTAAGCTTCCACCATGAGCATGGCAAGAAGCATGTAGGTGTTCCCATAGCCCTTCAGTGATGGTGGATATACCTATGGCCACAGTATCTGCTGTGTGCCAGCTGCTGAACTCCCAGAGGATCTCTTCATGGGCACAGTGAGCAGGTCAGCAAGTGCTGTGTCACTGCCTGGGTGGAAACTATTGTTCCAATGGTGTTTGCCAATGGAATGGTAGGGAAAGGCAAGCAGCCTTGGAAGAGTATAAATTCCCCAGTCCATACACCAGCTCTTCTGCAGCAGATGCAGAGCATGAGAGATGAGGTTCCTCGTGCCAGCTACACTCATCCTGCTCCTCCTGTGCCCCCCAGGTACAGGGGTGCGTGAATACACCTCTGTCCTCACTGTGCCCAACGGAGGCCACTGGGGCAGGTGGGGCAGCCGGCAGTTTTGCCATCATGGCTATGCCAATGGATTTGCTCTGAAGGTAAAATTCTCTCCATTCCCTATCGTCTCCTGTCCCTAAGGATTTTCTGGAGTTTTCCTCCTCTTGAGTATGATATTCTGTACATAAAACTATGAGCCTTCTGGCAAATGCTGCCACTGTAGCTACACCAGAAAAGTCTGCATGTGGCTGATATTGCTGGGAGAAGTCATGTGGGTGCAAAAACTGCATTTAGTCATGTTTCATTAATCAAATTCATCATTTTCCCAATTTTCTTTAAAACTGTTCTGACATTTTCAAGGATATAAAAATACAGGACAAGGAGCAGGAAAGCAGGGTTCAGGGAGAGAGGCACCCATCACCAGTGTCTCTCCTGAGACTCTGAGACTCCGCCTTACCTGTTGGGTCAGAAATAGGTAGAAAACACAAATAACATGTTACAAGGGTTAGGTGGTTTCCCAGTGACAGCTGTCTTTTCTGATGTGTTTCCCAAGATATTTTCTCTTTCCTGTTACAGAAAGGAGGTGGGACTCTTCGACAGGCATCTAAAGGACTTTTCCCGGGTCCTTTGGCCCTTGCCTTCACCTCTGTGTCTGTGTGACTTCCATTGCAGGTGGAGCCCGACCAGTTTGGAAGAGATGACACTGCTTTGAATGGCATTCGCCTACATTGTCAGGATGACTCCATAACCATTGAGTCTTTGGTGGGGGAGTAAGTGACACTGTGGTTTCTCTCCTGTTTGTCCTGCACCAGCTCACAAAACACCCATGGGTGTCACCATTTGCAGGGGTCTCTTCTCTCTGACCTGCTGTATACTTAGTGCTGTAGTATAGTGAATTAAAACAAGTGGTTAGGCGTTGCTTTTCATTAATTTTAAGGGTTACTACACCCTGTTACCTCACTCTACCACTTTTTCCTTGCCCTTGGATTTTCTGCAGAGCACTGTGAACACCTGAAGTGTGGTCCCAGGGTTACAGTCTTTCTTTGGAAGGGTTTCTAACCATACATGTTGAAACTGCTGGGTCCAAGCCCTGGCCATGCTGCAGGGAACAGCTCTGGCTGCTCTCCTGGCTGCCTGGTGTGTACCTGTCACACATCAGAGATGCCTCACAAAACGTGCTCAGGCTGCCCTCGGATTTCCACCAGAACAATAACTATCCAATCTCTTACTTCTGGTGGCTTTCTGATGAGAAAAGTACATATTTGGAAGGCAAGGAAAAACAAAAGGAGAAAGTAAGGGGCCCCAGACTGCAGCAGCATGCTGTGTCAAGGAAGTGTTAAGCTTCAGAGTAGCGTGACAAAGAGAAGGAGCATTTCCCAGCAGCTCACAGAGCCCAGACATTTTTTCCATTTACTTTTTGTCTAAGGTGGGGTTCCTGGACCAGCTTTCAAGTTTGCCCTGGAGGCTACCTGATCTCCTTTTCACTGAGAACAGAGAAGTCCCAAAGAGCAGGTGATGACACAGCAGCAAACAACATCCAGTTCAGATGCTCAGATGAAGCTGTGCTGGTAGGTGATGGACTGTCATGGGGAAGCTTTGGCCCATGGACCAACAGCTGCAAGATATGTGGTCTCCAGACCAAGGTAGAGCCTCCACAGGGACTTCAGGATGACACAGCACTCAACAATGTGAAGTTCTTCTGCTGCAAATGAGCACTTGCCTCACCTTCATCACTGCCTGCACATCCCATATCCCACAGCAAGTGAAGTGTCAGTAAAGCTTTGCTCTAGCTTTATCCTGGGACATGCCTGTGATGTTTTGACTGCTTGCATCTTGCTGTTCTGGCCAATGCCTTAGAGAATGATGTCCTTTACAGCTATTGCTACATTAGCATAGCCAAATCATTGCCTCATGTACTGCCGATATGCTGCTGTGAAAATGCTCAATCTCTAGCAATTGCTCAGAGCTGACAGATTTCTCAGCTTTCCTCTTCTCTAACTGGCAAGTTTCTTTGAGGTTTGGTCTGCCCATTTTTCCCTTATTTGAAGTAATACTCGATCTGTCGATATGACAAACAGGGAAGACTGGGTATTTCAGTCTATTTGAAGTTTCTGACCAAAACCAAAATGAGTAATGAGACACAAACGGGTGAAACAGAAGTTTGGGTGGGCTCATGAGAAGCATCAAAAGTTTGCTGTCATTGCCCACTCCTAGCTTGAATTGCCTCAAGATTTGTACATGCTTTTTGCAAGCAATCTGTTCGCTCCTGCCTGAGCTCCTGCCTTAGGAAAGGTGGCTAGAAAGTGTGTTTACACTGTGCATTCATCTGTGTGGCCCTGAACCACCTGGGTGGGTTGTAGCTCCCCAGGCCTCCCTTGCTGCTGCTTTGCAGTGTGCTCTGCTGGCTCAGCTGGCTGCTAGTGCAAAACATTTTAATGGGACTTGGATTTTGTTTGTTGCCTCTGGGCCTCATGCTTTAAATAGAGTGGGGGAGAATCCAAACTAAAAATAAACTCTATATCATTAATCCATTTTTTGTGCTAGTTTGCTGGGTAAGATGGAAGTTATTACCTTGTCCTGATATGCTAGATATAAAGAATGTACTCTCAGTTCAGGGAAAAATAATGTTTGGGGCTCATTATCACACTCAATCAAGCCACCAAGCCTCTCTGCCTTGTCTGAGAAGACTTTCTGCCTCTCTGAGCATCTTTTAGGAAGCGTAGCTGTTGCTATTCACTCAAAGTAATGTATTATGCATCTTTGTGTGCTTGAAAAAAGGTAGGGGCATAATCTTGGCATTCTCCAGGTGACTGCTGGGGTTGGGTTGTAAGGATGTTGTGTCCGGGACCACAGCCACGTGGAGCTGCACAGAGCTGGTGGTGGAGGTTCCTTCTGCCAGCTCACATCCTCTCCTTAGCACACACATAGTAGATGTCTACATCACTCTGGCTCTTCAGGCATACAATTTTTTCCTGCTGTCGCTTACCTCAAAAAGTACATGAATAATAACTCTATTTTCTTCCACTGAAGCACTTCAGCAAAGCTTTCCCATTGCAAGAATCTCAGAAAAATTCCTGCATTTGAATGATTTTATATATATAAAAAAATTAATACCAAATTTTCCAGTCAGACCTTCTGCTGTAAATTTTCATAGTTCTGATTTGTTTAATCTCAGAACTTGACTTATTTTTTAACATTTCGTATTTCTAAATGATCCTTTAATTGCTTTCCGTCCTCCTCTTGATTGCAGATATTTTAAGTGTTCAAATGCTTTATTGAAGAAAAGCTTATTTTGTAAAACTAGCCCAGTCATCACTTGGAATACTGATTATTAGCTTAAAGGAACCATTTTGTAACTTCCATCTCAATTTGGGAGTTTCTGAAAAAATCCTTATTTATCATGTATTCAGCTCTCTGTAAACATATAAATCCCTCAGCTCTTGCAATTAGCAAAAAAAAAAAAAAAGGCAAAACAAACTCCTCCGCCTCAAATAGACCCCAAAAAAACCAAACAACCTGGCAAAATTGCAACCTTTTTTTAACAAGCTGAACCAAACTAAACCAAGGCTAAATTCTGATGCTATCACAGTTGACTAGAGTTAGCAGTATCCACACCAAATCTTCAAAAATGACTGTTTTCAAGCCCCACAAGAGAACATATTTTAGTTTGCTTCTAGTGGCTTGGCTTTCATTTTCCTGTGAAACAGGAATAATTTCAGCTTGCAAACTGACATCCAGTATAATTAGTGAGGCAATATTTGAGGACATAAGAGTAAAAATAGCTGCACTGATCTAAGAGAAACAGGCTTAATTGGATGAAAGTGAGCGGGAATCATGGTGTCATGATTATCTGCATCATCTTCCAAAGCCTGGGGAATCCCCTTGCTGAGGCAGAGGCTGCTCCATGCACTTCACAGAAGTCTTAGAGGGCCAACTACTGGTCACCTTCCACCAGAGCATGTTGGACAAGTGAAAACCATCAAGTATTAATACTATAACATGCTGTGTGATCAGTGTCACCAGCAAACTTTGCAACAGGACATTTCAAGGGCTTTTGTTTTAGCATGTGAGTAAGTTGTGGCTTTTTAAAAGATACACTAATGACCTAAGTTGTGTGTGCAGGCAATTATTTGTAGGGAAAAAGTTCAGGTAGTTCATCATCTCCATATAGAGAAGGTTTCTAAGAAAGTTAATTTTTGGAATGACCAATGCCACTGAACTGAAGTGCTTGAAAGAAGGAATGGCAATTCTTTTGAGTCACTTGTTCAAGAAGCAGTACCTGGATTCTTATATATATGTATGCACATATAAACTTAAACGGTGGAAAACTTGAGCTTCATATTATGCATTCCTTTTCTGGAGGGTAATTCAGGCTGAAAGACTCTGAACATCTGCTCTTTCTCTGCAAATGAATGATTCAGTTGAATTTTGAGGCTTTACTGTGGGAAGAATTACTCACAGTGCCAGCAAAACTGACCTTCTCTGCTTTCCTGTTGTGCCAGGTGTAACACAGCTTTCATAATAGAGTGTGAATAGGCACTCCAAATGAGAGCTGTTCCAAGAAATGTTTGGAAAACAAAATACCATCTTCTCCTCACATACTTTCTCGTGTACTCATCAGCGACTTAAAAATAGAATGGTTGTTTTTTTTATCATCTGAATATTGATGGACCAGCTGGGTCTCCTTTGATGGTCTACTTGCAAAACATGGGTCATCCATAAAGTAGAAAGTAGGTCTCAGGAATTTACTTCATTCAGAGTGGAGGAATCACTCTTACAAGAGAAATGAAGGTATAAAATCATCATCTAAGTGTGCTGGAGCTGGTGTGGCTCAAAACGTGTTTAGCTGGAATCTATGAGTAGCTACATCTGCATGCCTTAAAAAAGTGTCTTTGTGTCTCTGGTGCATCCACGCATCAGGAATGTGTTGCCAAAGAGCTAACACACAGTTCCTGTGGAATGTTGGTGGGACTAGTGGCAATACCAAGGACCATGCAAGAATTATCCCTGAATCTACTGATAATATGGCAATTTTGGATCTGCATAAGCTTGAGCTGGCTCAGGGAAGGCAAGGAGGAGTTTTCCACTGATCCATGCATACAAGGCACAGTTCCCACAGATGCATACGTGGCACAGACTGGCAGAAGCAGCAGGCCTGGAGCTTTCCCAAAGTGATTTTTAAAAGCCAATTCTATTGACTAAGACTGAATCAGACCAATACCAGACCTCCTGTTAGCAGTGCCCTAGTGAGCCAAGCTTTGAGTCTGCCTCTGAGAAAGATGACCATAGAAATCCTAGCCTTTATGGCCATATTGTTCCTGTTGCACAAGGAAAATAGATATTCCATCCATCAAAAGTGCTCTGAAGCTTAAGCTGTTATTTTTTGTGAGATGCAGAGGAAACACCTGAAAATGCTTTAGCTACATATTGCTGATAATACTATATGTGATGAGTTCACCAGGCAGCTCATGCTCAACCTGTCATAGTTAGCATGTTTTCCAAGCCCATAAAACCAACCCTAACTAGTGTGATTGCCAATGAAGAAACAACTTAAAACATCTGGTTTTAAATTTTCTGAGTATCATTACTTGGAAATGTTGTTACAGAATGTGAGGAGCAGAGAACATTAACCTATGGGTCATGAAAAAAAACCCCATCAGGACTCTGGAGAGGTGATTCATGAAGGATTGAATTCTGGCTTCCATGCTCCCCACAACACTGAGCCTGTAGGCATACCTTTGTTCCACAGGACTAAATATCTATGGTATTGTGCTTGAACACTTACTTTTTGTCTGAGGAGCTGCTGCCTGGTTTGTATCTGCCTGCTCTGTCTTCATCCCTGCAGAGAGGGAGCCTACCCAAGGCAGTCCAGGCTCCAGCAAGTAATGTTAGAAGCTGTTGTCCTGGCAGGAAGGAGTAGCTGGCTCAGTGAAAGCTGGCGGAAATGAATGAGCTCTCTGCAATGCATTAGCACAATTAGCAGCAAGGCAGCAACACCAGATATATAGAAAACATACTGCTCTTGAACAAATAATTTAGAAGAATCTTTCTTAGAGACTTTTGCATTTGGTGCATTTCCTGAGCTTTCTATGTTCTACTGGCACAAAACTTGGTAGACACCAGCCACCTCTCATAACCCCTTACAACACAGACTGACTCCATGCTGCTTGCTAAAGTTTGGTGGCTTTGTCAACAGGCCACCTAACTGGGTGACATTTGACTCCACTAGCAGCTGGGCCTCTCCAAGAGAGAGGTTTTTTTAAAATCTCCAACGGAGATCTCTTTTTGATCACTCAAAACCAGTTCAACAGTAGCAATGGGGTAGTGGTAGTTCGGTGTCTTTCTTAATGAACATAAACCAGCAAAATGGACACCAGTGACCTCTTTAGTGCTGTGTAGAGAAAGAAAAAAGTGACAGTGCTACAAGAATACGTGCAGGAGTTTATTAACTTGGTTTGAGAAAAAGAACATTTTCAGAGGGAACAGGATAGTAGATGTCAGGTTACTGTGTGAGTCATTTCAGGATCAGGCTCTGAACAGGCCATAGGCCCTTTGTGTTTCTGCTTTCTCAGGGAAGCATTCTGCAGCTGACTGTGAATGACTTAGAAGTCCATAGACAAAACTACACAACTGGCTTTTTTAAAATACCAAGTATTTTAACTAAAAATAAAAGTATCCTTACGCTAAAGGAGTCTCTTCATCCATTCAAAAAATAATTTAACCAGTTTCAGTTTTGCAAGTAGTAGAAATAGATTAAAAAATCAATTCCCCAATCTGATGTTGTGTCTAGAATGG